GAGTGGATAAGGAATTAGCCCCAATATTGTCTGGGCCAGGAAGGGCTGCTGGGTTCTGGCATCACCAGGAGATGCGCCGGTGAGTGTGGGAGAGCAGCTGGTGGCTGGGGCCAGGGGGCCAGCAGGTGCTGGACCCTGTCCCCTTGCCCCTGGCCTCCTGGGGATGGGGGGGATGACAGACAAGGTCCCGAATCGCTGTTTTCTGCAGAGCATGCATGAGAGCACCAGGGCCGGGTTTCTGCCGGGAGCACTGGGGGGTTTCCGGCTGCTCACAGCTCCATGGCGATGGAGCCAAGATCCAGCTGAATTTGATCTGGGGGAATCACCGGCCAAATCCCAGTGGATGGCAGGCGTCCTTTTGGCTTGCCGGCACCCACAACGGGGAGGGCAGCAGCGGGTTTTCCTCTGGCCGAGCTCTAGGCCGAGGGGATTTGCTCAATTTAGGCTTTATTTGTCACTCCAGTGGCCCCCCCCAGCTCCCTGGGGGACTGGGGTGGCAGTCAGATGGGCACAGCCTGGGTAGAGGGGCTGTGCCCGGTGTCCCCATCTGTGCCAGCCGTCGGGCAGCCCCGCATGCCGGCCGCTGTCTGCTGACGTCCTGCGAGGTGTAGGTTTCATCCCAACCTGCAGGGCACGCGGGCACACGGATAATTTTAGTCTGCCCTGTTTTTCCAGGCCAAGGTGCTTGGCATCCAGGGGTGACGACGTGACCGTGTGGCTGGTGGCATCATCCCAGGGCAGAGCAGGATCTGTGCCGTGGCTCCAGGGTGCTGGACGGAGGCTCCGGCCACGGTGTGGGACACCGGAACCTGGCTGGGGGGGGCCTGGGACTGTCATCCTCCCCCTGGGCACTGGGGTTTGGGAGGAAGCTTTGGGGTCCAGATTTGGCTGGAGTCCTGGGCATTTGATCTGCTGTCGCAGAGCTGATTCATCACCAGAGCCGATGTGTGAAAGGATGTATGGAAATCCTATAGCAACAGTTGTTCTCGAGCTGTGCAAAGTTCACATAGTGCTAAGGCTTCTCAGATGCTCAGCGTGCCGTGGGTTTCTGTTTCACACTCCTGAAAGGCTCTTGGAAGTTCTTGGCCATTCACCCTGGCTGGCACGGCCGTCTCCTCCCCAGCCGCCCAGCAGGTATGCTGCTCTGGAGGGGGTGGTAGCAAGAGATCTCATCGTGGTGGATTCACAAGATAACACCAGAATGTTTTTTAAAAAGTAGAATTCGGGGTGTGTTTTGTTGCCACTGTGCTCAAGGGTGACCTACTTTAGAGGGTTTTAAGTTGCAGAGTACTGGCATGAGTTCAGCAGGCTGCACGATGTACCATGTACAGCTGCAAAGAAGGGGGAAAATACCTACCGCTCACCGTGGAGGGGGATTTACTGGGGAGAAAGTGTTCAGGAGATAAATACTGTGAGAACTTAGCTAATACTAAACACTATAGGAACTAGGGTGGTGCTCAGAAACGAGGGGGTGTGCTGGTCCCCAGGAGATTTCAGTGATGCGAGGTACTGGGATGTTCTGCCTCTTTGCAACTGGAGCTAATGCTGCCCTAGGTTGTTTTATATTCTCTGTGGGCAGAGAATACCAAAGCGCCTTTTTTAGGCTTTGATTTTTGCTTCCTAGAGGCTGGCTTGAAGCGAGCATGATTTCTTTTCCCTTGTATGTCTTCATGAAAGCAAAATGGTTTTGTACGTCTTATCAGGTGAGGGTCAAACCTATCTGTTAAGACGGGGGAAACCCTGATGGAAATAATATGCCAGATCTTGCTGGAGAGCTGGGGCTGCTTTTTCTTCTGCCGGCGAGCAAAGCTGCAGCTAATCTGTGGGAGACACTCCACGTTAACGATGTCAAATGGACTTACAAGGTATCGGTGACAAGTCGCAGCACACTGTCTCTGGCCCGGGCATTCCTCAGCTTTGCCATTGACGAGCGCCCGGCTGTGTAATGGTGTAATTATAGTTTTGTGGGTCTCTCCAGGCATGCATGGGGTTTCACACAAGGAAATATGCCTTTTTATAGCTTGTGGAAGTGTGGGTGATGCCATCAGCATCCGTGTCTCGTTTCTGGCTGTGGCGTCCCTGTTCCGGCCAGACAATCGGAAAATATCAGTGTAACACAAGGACAGGGTAGTGGATCTGACTTGCTGCTGGTCTCACTTCTGGCTGCTTCACGAGGCTGTTTAAGACATCCCTTGAAATAGGCTTGGTGGGTTTTTGGGTGACTTCTTGCTAATCTGTGGCAGCTGCTTTTCTGGACCAATGTTTCTAATTAAGGCATGCTCAAAAATCTTCTAAGTAAGTAAGTGAGCTGTGCTAACATCACAGCCAAGTTATTTTAGAGCCCAAAAGATCACCACACTCATCCCACGTGAGAGGTTTTGTACTTAAACGTGGTGAACCTTTTATGCGTGGTGTGCCGCATGTGCTTTAGTACATCAGTTTAATGGCACTTCCTATCTTTAGCTGGTGTATTTCGATAGCGGGTTGACAGATCTCAACACACTCACCTATCTCACCACAGTATTTAAGCTCAATTAGTTACCAGGCACAGAGTGGTGTGGAGAGTTTATTATTAGCTTGGAGCTAGCCGCTAGCCGAGGACAACGCTGCAACCAGGTCTTCATTCTGGGTTGGTCTCATTTGGAGAAAAGGAGGCTGAGGGGCGACCTCGTTTCTCTCTGCAGCTTCCTGAGGAGGGGACATGGAGAGGGAGGTGCAGCGCTTTTCTCCCTGGGATCCAGGGACAGGACATGTGGGAATGGTTCAAAGCTGCATCAGGGAGGTTCAGACCAGACATCAGGAAACATTTCTTTACCAAGAGGATGGTCAAACCCTGGAGCAGGCTTCCTTGAGAGGTGGTCAATGCCCTAAGCCTGTCAGTGTTTAAGAGGCATTTGGACAATGCCCTTAAGAACATGCTTTAACTTTTGGTCAGCCCTGAAGTGGTCGGGCAGTTGGACTAGATAATCGTTGTAGGTCCCTTCCGACTGAACTATTCTAATCTATTCTACAGCCATGGCGAGCTGCATTTGTCCCTGGCTCACGCAAGTGCAGACGTTGCCCCAGGTGTGCCTGGTGGCAGCACAGACCAATCTGAGCAGACAGGGCAAAGAGGAGGTGACATTTTTTGTGGCGCTTACCATCGTGCCACTCATGCTTCCCACCAGGCTGCCTGGGTGAAGGTCACCACTTGGCTCACGGGCGGAGGTTCTGCCTAAAAGCCTGGTGAAGAATAGGAGTTGTGCTGCTCATAAAGGGGGAAACTCAGGCAGATTGTTGTTCTCAAAGAAAGTACGTGATAAGCAGGAAGATAAAGGGCTACCACTCAGTTTTGCTTCAGGAACAATATCCCCATTCCTTCTCAAGCATGTTATGATTTATTTCAGTATTTCAGTTGTGTGTGTTTGCCAAATTATTCTTGTGCTATCTTGCTTGGAGTGGGAGGCTTTTTTTGTCTCACTGAAATACTGAGAAAAAGCCTATCATCAGCAGTAAAACTACTGCCACTGATATTTTACTTACAGTTTTGCTATAAAGGGAGGACATGGATGAACAAGAAGTCTGTGGACTTTCTACAAACTTACCAGAAGCATTTGCAAAAGCAGAAGCTCCTGTACCTCCATTTTACAGAGTTGGAACATGGTACCTGGCACTTTAACACAGAATTTTGCCAAAAGCATATAACCTGCTTGGGTGTGAGCTCCTTTGTGGGACACATTTTGAAGGCAGATTACACAGGGCTATAAAGGACAGCTCCCTACAGCACAGATTCCTTACAACTTTTTCACAGCAAGTTAATGAAAAGTCTATTGGTAAATAGACTGCACGTGTGCTCCAAGGACATGTTTAAATGCTGTTTGTTTCAAACTGAAATTAGGATGGCATTGTCAGTTACAAATTCCTGAAGGGAGTTTCCCAAGGTAGCACAATTTTAATATGAGGCTGCTACTCTCATTCCCTGAGAAATCCCACCAATTTGCCCTCTGGATTTTAAATCCACACATAGAGCCATTTCCACCTCTTGAGGCTCAGCTAGTTGGAGAATTTAGGACCAAGTAACATTATTGTTTGGATCACAAAAGGCAGAACTAGAGGCTTCTGTCCAAACTTCCCACCTTGGGAGCAGTTGACTATTGTGCAAAACAAGCCGTAGTATCTTTACACGCTAATTTGTTTTGAGTGTGAAGTGAGAAACACCACAACGCCGAGGCTGACATAAACCTGGTTTCATACCAGCACTTCAAAAATATCTGAAGTGCTGTTCACCTCCCATAATCACCTCCAAGAATCTCACTCTTGTTGGGATGTCAGAACTGGGCTTCCAGGCCAGTGTTATCACTTAAACCAAAGCAGCAACACACAAAAGGAGGTTTGAGGCCACACAGGTATGACATTTCAAATGTCATATGAAAAAGCAGGGGCTGTTGGTGTGTTTGGGGGGAGTTTTTTGCCTATTTCTACTACAGTAAAGGTAACTGACATATTAAAACAGGACCTCAAAAAAAAAAAAGAGAGATTTTAAGTTGATTTTTACTGAATTTTAGAGATGACATTACAAACAAGCCATTACATAAAGACTTAATATCTGCAGAAGCACATAAGCAGAAGAGTCAGTTGTTCTCCTAATACAGCTCCACTTGTTCTATTATAAAAATGTGTTTTCAACTTGTTTAAGCCAGTGGAATACAAAATAAGAAAATAAAAAAACAAGCCACAAAACAAAACAATCCTGTCCATCATAGTTGTGAATAAGTTATCTTCATTTTTCAATTATATACAAAAGATACTTTCCAAAGGACAGTATAAGAAGAGTTTACATAAATAAACCCCTCATTCCAACTAATAAGTACTATTTACATCATTCTGTACACGGGTCTTTCAGGTCTTCCGAGACCCTGAAAAGCAAGAGGGGAAAGTGTGACTATCCAAGCGTAAGGGCAGGTTGTTTCCAGCAGTCAGTCCCTCATGTTTTACCCCCTCAGAAGGAGGGATGTATTCACCTATAAGCAATTTAAAAGCTTGTTGTGAATATCTTCAAAGACTTGATTGTAAAGTTCATCTCTAGACTTCAGTCCATCTAAATAAACTGAAAGAAGAAGATGGAGTCAGGCTGTAGGTTTCCTATCAGAACAAAATTTCTGTAGTTTAAAAATCTTTCATGCTCTATTGACCTAAATGACAAGCTCGTTTTCCAATTAGAAAAACTGAACCTTCCTGAAAAGCTATGGCCCACAAAATCTCTTATCCCATTATAAAGAATGTGGGTTTTGTCTATGTTGTCCATGGCCTCCCCCCGCGCCCCGCCCCGAGTGCTTATAATGTGAAACAAAGGAAGGAAGTTCTTAGCTATAAAACTGCATATATTTATCTGGACAGAAAGTAGGCCAGGATTACAACTTAGTAGTAAAAATAGTGCCTCACATCATTACAGTTAAAGTTTCCTTGAATTAAATTACTGACTTCCTTAAAATCCAAAGTATGGTGCCAAAGGATTTGTATTTAGGAAGGCTTACCAACATCAACACCACAGTCCTCCATTTCTTTCCTGTGTTTTAAGTACATGGGCCAGACATGTCCATCAAAGAGACCCGGTGGGTCAGGAACAGTGTAGTTACGTGTACTGCAAATATCAAAAAGTAAAAAAGAACATTAGGACTACTGGGATCACACTGCCTCTTGCATACTGCTGAAGCCTGAAGTTCATCTGACAGCTGCTCAGTTGCATTTATGTAAAAGCTGACTGTCACAGTCCAATTTCTCATCGATACTGGTCTGTGTTTTGCAACAAGTTTATTTTAGCACCCAAAGTGAATACAGAAGCTACAGGTAGCCGATGAAAGCAAAGCAAGCAGTCTCTGAGGGTTCACTGATGCTCATGGGGAAGCATGCAGCGACTCTTGTTCGTTCTGCACCAGTGTGCTGATCTCCAGACAACCCGCACAAAGGGAACTGCCAGATCTAAAGTTTCAGAAAATGCCACACGAAAGTCTCTTTCTCCACTTACATTAAAATTTTCAACTGTAATGCCAATTCATAATTCCAATATATCCCCTTAATAGTAACATAAAGGTAGTCTGAAGGCTTTCCTCTAGTAGAGAGTCTTTATTGGAAGGAAGGATTAGACTTACATCAAAGAATCTTCTTACCTTCTCCTCCTTTTGCATTCATCATATGGAACTGCCAGGTAGTAGCGTATGTCAAATAGGTCTATCAGTGGTCTAGGGTAGGGTAGAAAGAAAGAACGTGTCTTTTTTTTCTGACAGCAAAAAGTGTTCAAACACCCCTGAAAGCCATACAAATCTTTCTACATCTCTCGTATTTGTGTCTATCATAGACAACAGAAGAATAAGTGTTTTCATTAAGACACAAGCTAACGTACAGTAGGTTTATTTGTAGCTACAAAACATGGAGAATGCTGTTTTCTGAAGGTCAGAATGGTATGCCAGGTACTTTTACCACCCAAATACCTGCTACTAGTTACTGTGGAGGATTAGACACTAGGCTGGGAAGACCTGGGGTATGAACCGTGACTCTTTCTAGATAATTTCAGATTCTGCTTGCAGTAGACCAAAGTTGTGATTCATCAATTTGATATGAAATGACTTATCAAACCACCTGACCTGTTGTGCTGAAGCAAGCTGTCAAAATGTACTAAATCTGTGTGCCCATGCATGAGGCAACTCATCAGCTCATCTTCTTTTCCAGAAATACAGGGGGTTAGCTTTGCCACAGCTTACTGCATTGCACTCCTATTAGGCTGAGGAAAATAAACCCTGAAAAATCCTTAAAGCAAATCTAGTTTGAACCTGGTGGGACCGACAGACTTCTAAAAGCCTGCTGAGCATTGCATAAACACTTGATATAGTATGAACTGAGAAGCTCCAGGTCCATGGATTAAATACTCCCTTTGGACTAAGGAAAGGCTCCCATTAACAAGTCAGGGTGCTTCAGAAGTATTTGTAACCTTCAGGAGAGACACCGAGAGTTACCTCCTCAGGGACAGGCCAAGAACACCCGGCAGTTTGCCAGCACGATCTCCAGTTAGCAGTTCTTGGCATGATAGTCCGAGACTGCCATTTTATATTTTCCATTCAGTTTGGAAAGCCAGAATGGTGCTGCTTGTCTTATGGTACAGCTTATAAACAACTCCAGTTTTGCTAAGTGTCATGCACAGCTTGTTCTCTTGAAAGAGTTTTGTAAACAACAGTCTAGTTTGGAGCCAATAATCCTTTGCTTGTCATGTTTATAGCATGCAATTTTCTGACGTTTATATATTTAGCTATTGGAAGTTTTCTCTTCACTGCTAGTCTAGTCTCCCCATCTTCCTGCCAAGCATTTTTTCCCCATATAAAAAACAAACAACAAAAAAACCCAAACCAAAACCAGGTTGATCTTTGCTCCAATGTACAATTAATTACCAAGCTCAATTTAGTCAGTGTTAAAGAAGCACATGTATCACATGAGAACTATTCCTAAATTCCAGGAGAGATTCCAAGGAGCTGATGCAGAATGGATTATCTCCTTGTTCTCATCAATGACCTTTTCAGGTCAAGGTTTAGGCATGGTGGTGGGAGACCAGGAGGGAAGCCTGTGTCTTCACTGCTGGCTCAGTATTTACAGGTTTGGTCTAAAGCTCCCCATGCCCTAGAGTTCAAAGGTGTGCCCTAAATGAGAACTTCCTACATTACCTTGAGAAAGTTACCTTGTGCACTTCACTTTTACCAGCATTTACTGGTAAATTTTACATTTTACATGAGACAAATTCTTACACATAATACCTCACAACAAGACAGGAAGGGTATATTAGTAAAAAGGAAATTTTAGTCCTGGCACTAGGGATCTAGTGTTCTTCCCTGGCAAACCGTTAATAGTTCCCCAAACCTTACTTGTAATTATAAAGCAGGAAGCCTTCAATGACCAATATATGGATATCTTTGGAGGCTGGCTCTTTAGAGCCAGGCGTAACATTCACCCCGTGGGAACGGGCAAACTTCACTGGGTTCTCAATCCATGCACGCACAGTGCTCACCATTGCCTCCATATCCAAGGAGTCCAACACTAGTTAGAAGAAAGGGGGTGGGTGGGAAAAAGGTATACAATCAAATACCATGAACCACAGAGGCTTGAAAGTATAATATAGAATGAACTTGTAAAATTGAAATTACATAAGTTTACTGTTAAATCTTAATAATTAAAAAGAAATACTTAGGAAAAATATACATTACTGCATCCTATAGCGAACACTGCTCTTACCATCCCATTGTTTAAAGCCGTCTTCCCCGACTTCTATTTGATCTTGTGGCTGAAATATAGTGAGCAATAAAACATTGCTGCAAACTCAGCGTGATCAGTTACCTAAGATCCGATCACAACCTGGACACTACTGCAATACACAACAAAGCAAGTGTTCACTTAAAACAATTACAGACCCTGTTTGGACTACATTAAAATTTAAGTTCCCATCTTTCACCAACCCCAAGAACTTTGAAAAGTTTTCTTGGCTCAGTCAAGCCACTTTGGACAAAGAGTTCTAGGTTAATAATTCGATATGGTGGTATTAGCCAAAATCCTACAGCCCCTGTTTGTAAGTCAACATAAGAACTTAAAATGCAAATACAGTGTTAAGTAACTGCTAAAATTTACATGTTCAAGAATAGCTATTTTAACTCCTAACGGCTCTAATAAAAACGCAGGTCAGCATAGCATGACTTTTGGTCACTTAGTTACAGCTTTACTTGTACTAGCATTTGCCAGCTAAACTGACAAGTGAGAAGCTATAGATCTTTATGGAAAGTCAGACAGAATTCCTCCTCTACTTTAAGGGCTTGTATCTGACCAAATTTGTGCATGAGGCTTCTTGCAAAGAAGCTCTTCCAAACGAGTGTCTCATTCCTGTTTCACATGGCACGTGCTCCTGCAAAGGCAGGACAAACCGACCAGGTGGCTGCCGATGCCAGAGCACCTTGTGTGGTGGCATGGAGCTCCACACAACTTCAAGTATGTTGCCACATCTCTTGGACTTCCACATATGGTGGGGTCCAGCTGTATTGCAATTCCCACAGCATGGCCGAAGCTGACAGCGTTTGGTAACGCAGTTCTGATCTGACCCACTTCCCCTGCTGCTCTCCCAGGCTCGGTGCAGAAGGCATCAGGTCAGCACAGGTCTTCTGTATTGATCTTTAGCTATCTTTTAATTGGGTTTCTGACATGGAGCTGTCAAAGCTCCCCAATACAACTGTCCTTCTATATTTAAAGCAGTGTAGGGGTGCTTAAATCCTGAAGTAGTATTTAGAAGCAACATTCTTATTTAAATTAAATAAGGAGGAAAACACAACATAGAAAAAATGGTTTGTGCAGAGTACATTAAATAACCTGTAACTTAGATCAGTAGTTTGACCTAAAGTTAGATCTGTTGTGAAAATTAAAGGAAGCTTGTGCTGCAACTGTTCTGTGCTTGGCTGTGCCAAGCTCCGCTTCTGTGGAAGCTGACACATACATTTGTAAAGGTCAGCATCGCTTCACTTGTCCAAAGTAATTTAAAAAAATAAATACATATATTTAAGGGGAAAAAAAGTAAAAATCAGAAAGTTTGTTGCTCCTAAGCTGTCAAAACTTAATTGGAAAGCATGCACAAGTATATAAAACTTACATGGAGGACCTACTACAACTATCACTACGCATACAAGCAGCAGTTAATGTTTTAAACAAGGGGAGGAGCTCAGCTTACCTTGAAGAAATCATCCTGATGGACCACACAGCAGTTGGGGAGCGCCTTGATGATTCTGTTGGTCAAGGTGGTTTTACCACCGTTAGTGACACTGCACGGAGAGGTGAGAAAGAGGCGGGAGAACCGCGTTAGAGCCGCTGGGACCCCTCCCGCCTGGGAGAACCGCTAGGACCCCCCGCCATAGCCCTCAGCGGGACGCTCTGAGGGGAGGCGACCCCCGCGCCCAGCCCATTTGAATTTCCCGCCTCGCCGGCGCCACGGCGCGCGTTGGCCGCCGATTGGCTGCCACCACCCTCCGCCCCGCCCTTTCCCCGCGGCAACTGCCTGTGTCCGGCGCGCGCGCGCCCTCGCAGGCTCGGCGGGCGGCTCGCGCCGCTCCTAACGGCCGCCCCGCTTCCCGCCCGCTGCAACGGCCGCGCTGTGAGGGAGCGCGGGGGCCGCGCCGCCATCTCTGTCCACCTCAGAGCGGCTGCCCGGGGCTCCCCCACCTCTGCCTCTCCGCCAATCTGCCCGAGCTGGGCCAAGCTTCGGCGGGCACTCTCCTCAAGATGGAGGAGGCTGGGCGGCTCCAACCGCTCAGCTGCCCTCCCTGCGGGCGCCCTGTCAGCCCCCGCGGGGGGCTTTGGTGAGCGTTGGCTTCTCTCCCCGCTGAGGCCCGGCCGGTCTGCCCCCGCGTAGGGAGCTGGCAGCTTCCGAGGTACAAGCCCTTGCCGGCGTTCATCGCCCGAAAACACCCTGGCTCGTTAGGAGGCTTACGGTCACCAGCTTAAGAAGCCAGCCCATGAAAGTAAGGCTTGCGAAAATTGTTTTTTAAAAATGCCTTAAATGAATAATGAATGAGGGAAGCTCTCTCTTTTCTCAGAGTATGACTCAGACTTCTTTATACCTGCAAAACCCGTTTTAATATAAAAGGCTTGAATAATTTTCCTCTCTAAAGCAGGGAGTCGTCAAGTCTGAATGTGCTTATTCCTAATTTATTATTCAAAGGCTATAGAAGTCTCACGCTGTCTTTAACCCATGTTCTAATTCAAGGTCTTGCCCGGTGGCAGTTTTGCAAACCCTTCTGCAGTCGGCAGGGATGTGCCAAGCTCTGTCGCCCTGTCCTAGCACACACGCAGCCTTTCTTCTACTTTGCTGGAGAAAAGAAAAGTTTTTTGTACACACAACCCCCCCCCCTTATTTGAAGCACGGTTTTTTCTTCTTTGTCTTTCAGAGAAGCTTTAAAAGCCTAATTGAGTGTTGAAAACATCCTTTTTCACACTTGAGGTACACCACTCCATCTGACCTACAAATTTACCTGAAATATTTTTTTTTCTATTTCAGCATATCTCCTCTTAATCCTATAAAAGTTTGGTAAATGCCACCCTGCAGAGCTTCCTGTATTTAAGCAGCACAAGTGAGGAGTCAGCAAGTTGCATCATTTCTAGACTCCTGTAATATTTTATAGTCAAATATATAATCGCTAAGCCTTAGATCATCTTACATACAACAATTAAATGGGAAGAAAAAGCAGTGTGTATATATATACACAATATTAACAGGAACTCACCCTCCGATGCCTATGATGTATTTCATCTTTGTAGAGTTGCTTCCTTAGCAGGAACGCAGTGAGAAAAAACAAATTTAGAAGCACTGAAATTACTTTCAGCAGAAAAAACCCTACAGCTGATCCTCTTCCTTCTATTCCCCCACCCACTCAACCCTGCCTTGCCTTACTCTTTCATTGAAGGAAAAGGCGGGTTTGCCTCTAATTTATAGGGCCCCACCGCAGCGCCCTGCCCTCCCTCCCCGCTGTTTCTCCGCCCTGCCTGCTGATGGAAAAGCCCTGTGACTATCATGAGCCCCAGATGTCATATTTTCGACCCGGGATTAGCCAATCCTCACCTCGGCGGATGGGGTCATGCGCGCTGCAGCTGCACCTGTTTTTGCAACCCTTGTGGACCCCCACTCCCCTGCCCTTGCTGGCTTTGCTATAAATAGCTTTTTGGCAAGCTCTTCCTTTGCCTAAATTAGTAATGGGGTAGATAGAAATGTCACCCCTTTTCACAATTCCTTTGGGAGTTCTGGGAGAGGTACAGAGGTGTGTGAAGATACAATTCAGTGTTGGGTTTTTTTTTTTCCTTCAAGCTAGGCAAGCTATCTGTTTGCCTTCCTCTCCATTTTTCCCAATTCCTATTTGATTATTTGCAATGCATCCATGAATGTCACAAGAAGGAATTTTTTTGTTTCTGTAACCTTGATAGGGAAGGCAAGGGAGCCAATTCTTTTTTTTTTTTTTTTTTACTCCTATTAGTGAAGTTGTTCAGAGAAAGGAACATGCAGAAGCTGATGAGTGAATTCATTTGGACCATTATCTTCTGAACCTTTAGGAGGAGCTTTTTGAACAGCTTATTCTTTATACATAGACACAAAGTCATAAAATGATACTAGCTTTCCAGAGGGCTGTCTCCTCCACAGTTTACTCATGTATTGTAGAGCTTTTTAAGGTAAGTTAACTCTAGCTGGACTGCTTCCTTGAGTAAATACCTCTCACCATGTGTATGTGTCATGGAACCTGTGCTTTAATTTTGTTTCAGATGCTTCTAAAATCAGGGCTGTCTTGAGAGATGTTAGGTGAAGGTAGAGTTAGCAATAGTTCTGAATGTTTGGGGTTTTTTGGTTTTTTTTTCTCAGATGAGAAAAAAAATTCAAGTTAATCCATTGTATCCCTTTGTTCTTCCTTTTTACAAAAACAGTCTATGGAAGCATTAAAAGGCATACTTAAAGATTCCTTGTCCTACAGTGGTTTGTGAAGTAATTGTAAAAAACTTAAGTGACACAAATGTCTAGGTGTGTGGTGTCCTGTTCGTTTTCTTTACAGCTTTGGAGTCTGCAGAGCTGGTTCTTGCATCGTGATTTTGTACTGATAGATGTGTGTGCAGCATATGAGTGTTGGCGCGGGGCTTGCCCCTGGCTGAAGGTGAATACAGAAGCTGTTGTTACAGTAGGGTGGTTTTCACTGTGCTTGAAGGAGTAGACCCATGCTGTTCCTATTCTAGTTTTTTTTGTAGTGCCTCCATCATTTGCTCGCTGGCTACAAAGTATTGTCCCTTGAGCTTTTGAGCTGTTACAGGGTAAAATCCGCACATCCAGAATTTAACCATCAAGAATCTGAGGAAAGTGCTTTTGAAGGAGTATTCCCAAAAATCACTCTGGAGGGCTGGGTGGGGTGCAGCTCCAGCATCACAGGCAGTAGCTAATCCAGGCTATTGAGATGCACCTCAGGGCTCACGGCTGCCTAGATGTGCAGAGGTACATTTTGTGGAGCTTTCCCATATACAGTGGTTTTGGAGCTATATAGACAGGTTGTTCCCCAAGTAATACAATATCCTTAGGAGCCTATAGAACATTTTAGTTCTGGCAGTTAATGGCATCTCATTTGGCCCACATGGTATCCTGTGGCTTAGTCATCTCACACCTTTATTAATAACCCCAGTATTTTGTGCATACCTCTTCCTCAGATTGGGTAATTGTTTGACATCATTAAGTTTTATTCAGAACAACTGCTCCCAAGCTGTATTTAACTTGAATTTTTCTGCTTCTATTTCAGGCCTGAAGAAGGGTTTTGTGGCCTATAATCTTGTTTGTCTCACCCCAGCTATGTCTGTTGATCTAATAAAAGATGTTACTTTTCCCTACAAAGCTATTTTATGCTTATCAGCCATGAGGTCAAGCCCATTTGATAAAATGAGCTGATCATGAATAAACATGGACTGCAAGTTAGAAGATTATTAACTGTCAGAGGTGTAAAATTCTGGAAGTCTTGCAATGGAGATACTGAAGGCAAGAAAAGAAATTGATTTTAAGATAGAGCCTGGTAAATTTATGAATGGGATTATAGTGAATGGTCTTTTCCAGTTTATTATGCTGTCTTAACTCTGTGTGTTTAATGAATAGACTGCAGCCAGTGTTTCAACTGTACACTATTTGATTGATCCTGGAGACATCACTTGCAAATTATACTTAATCATCATTTCCAAGGTAGCTACGTAAAATGATTGCTCCAGAGAAATTCAGAGCTTGAATTCTTGAATATGAATGAGACATGACTCTCGGGGAAGTTAGATCTCCAGCAGCTGCCCATCACTTTAAGCACAGCACAGCATTTGCAGTGGAGAGTCACCAAGTCAGCCTCTCAGCTGGTGTGAATTGTCATTGTGCACTGAAGTGGAGCAATGCTAATTTACACCAACTGAAAATTTGACCTAAGATTAGCTCTCTGTTCAAATTTTTCATGTCCTTCACTGTGTTTCTCTCCTGTTGGTGAGATAGGAAGGTGTTTTGGTTAAGAAAGCAAACAGTGTGTTACTTCAGTGTTTATTTTACCACATTTGACCTGACATGCTAGGCAAAAACTGGGAGGCTTGGAAGTTGTATAAAAGTTAGGAGGGGACGCTGGTCTCAGCTACCTCTGATCCAGTCCTTTTTACATTGGAGTCATGCTAATCCAAGTATTTTTGGACCGTGCCATCCTCGAGGTGAGTGAAAATTGTATTCTGCCCTGTTGGATTTACTAATATGAATGGGCTTCAGAAATACAGGTTGTGTTTTTGCATTAAAAAAATGAGTATTTGGCCTAAGATGTATCAAAAGAAACAATGCATTTCTAGTATAGATAGCAAACAAAAAATAATTCTGGCAGTAGTAGCAGCAGCAATTCCAGATACTAAAGTATTGGCTGAGTTGTGTGCGATCAGTGAATTCCAGAACAGTGAAGTCCCACTATCTCTATAAAGAATGTTAAAACTCTGTTTCTTCTGAAAACTGGAGGAATGAAGGACAGAAGGCACATTTTTTTTGTTGTTGGGTTTTGGTTTTGGTTTTTTTTTTAATTTTTTTTAAGCTTACAGTTGCAAATCTTGTTCATGTAGCCCTCAGTGTCAAAGCTCATTTTTTTTAAGCCTTTTCTTCATAGTCCTTCAGTGCTCCTGTGGATGTGGCTTTTCCTGAGTTTGTTTTTAAACTATTTGATATGGTTTTTCTGTCACCTGTATTCATACTCATGCACCAAACATGCAGTGAAATTGTATTCACCCACATAGCTCAAATTCTCAGATTCCTGAATGGCCTCAGACTTGCTGTTCCTTTAGGTGGTGGCATGTGCCTGCCTGTATTTGGAGATCTCTGGCATTTCAGCTGTCTGCTTCCCAAAGGACAAAAAAGACCTTGTACAAAAAACTGTCGGAAATGAATGGTGACAGTTACACTTGCCAGCTACAACAAACTTTACCCAACCCGTAAAAATATGTCTATGCAAATGCCAAGTGCTCATATATGCTTTTTTTAGCAAGTTGTTAGCCACATTTCTCAGTGAGTTATGTATTGGTCATCTGAAACTTCCTTTTTTTGGGGCTTGTTTATCCTGCAGATACGTTATCTACTTGACACTTTACAAATACAAATGCCATTCAACAATGTGCTTCAATCAAAGATAGAAAATGTTCCCTCTCTTTACGTTATTTTTAGAATACTAATGTTTACAAAAAGTTTAATGTTATTCTTTGTTAAAACTAAGATAAATTTGGCAGAAGCCAAATTTACTATTCATGGAGGCATCATGACATCATTTCCTTGGAATAGTTTAGTTTCTGTGTGTCCACTGACCTTTCTGTTGCAGAATATGACTCATTCTAAAGCTTTATTTCAGAATTTAAATCCTTCACTAATCATAAGACATTGTTTATGGTATAGGCAAGGTTATACCAAGGTTCCTTCTGCTAGTGACCCGGGGGAGGGGGCTGGATGAGATGGCATACCAACTAGTGAATGAACAGGCAAAGGAATGAGAGTAATTTTCACTTGTGAATTTTTAAATAATGGGTTTATTTATTCTTTCCAGAACACTGTGTTAGCTGGGTTGCTAAGAGAGTCCTTCTCCAAGGCTTTGGAGGCTGCTCGTATCTCAACAATACAAAAACTGTCATACCCCCTCTGGAGGAAGGTAAGCTTTTATTTTAAACAGAAACAAGGGACAGAACATCAACAGAACAGTACTTCACTGTGAACTGCCAGTGACTAGAACAGCTAACAGTAAGGAAAATTAGGCTAGTAGAATAACAAGCTTAAATAGTATAATGCTTTACTAGCTGGCATCTTGTCACAGTGATATGCAGAGTGGCTGGCAGCCAGGAGCTGCCACTGTCGGTGGTGATATTTTCTGCCACTGCTGCAGCTGATCCCATGGCTGCTGTTGGTGGCAGAGGATCTGTAGTCCCATGGAGGAGGCAGGGACAGAGTGGCAGACAGGTCACACTCTGAGAATTTAGACAAGATGGGATTGAGGAGAAGCAGCTGTGCACACAAGGAAAATACAGGTGAAAACGTTTCAGTGTATCATTACTTTGGGGATGTGGGATTAATCCAGAAAAAATATTCTAGACGGAAGGAAAAGTGATGGGGCCTGAATGAAAGGACAAGAGGGTATGTGTAAAGGGAACAGATTAAGAGGTAATCTGAAGTGAAGACTCAGTGAGGGAAGAGAAAACTGGAGCCTAAAGGCAGCCAGCTCATTACTGAAGAAGTCCAATCAGAGATGG